TTTTAAATTTATATGAATAATGAAGAACATGGTTGTTACTCCTAATAATTAAGTATCTTTTAAAACCAGTGCAAATGTAGACTGTTTTTAACTCTTTAATATACATTTTTGTTTAGATATTTTTTATAATTCTACTTCAGTTTTGAGATATACCTTTTTTTGATTAATTTGTTTAATCTAATTGAAATAATTATCTGCATTTTAAAACAGAATAAATTTTTTATGATTTCAAAAATCTATTTATTTAAATACAATATTCTATACGCAACCGTTGAGAAATATGAGCCTATTGTAAAAAGTCTAGATATTAAATGTTAACTAATTTAGTAATTCATCTTTTTCATTATCATTTTTCAATCTAATACAATTTCAAGATTATTCTTAGAAATATTTTCATATTTTGATCTACTGATGTCAAAATAGAATCTCTTTAATTTCAACAAACTGTAACTGCTTCATCTTCATCCCTCTCATTTCCAACTCTCAATGCTAATTTATCTATTATATATCTTGCAGTTCCTAATTATTTTTTTTTATTAATCTCTAAGTTTAATTTTCTTCAAATAATAAATAAATTTTTCCATCTCCTTGCCTTTCCATACTTTCCCCTATTATTCATTTACTTAAATCATGAAGTTGCAGCAAATTGTACATATTTATGATTATCCTATATAATACTTAATCCAAATATGAAAATAACCAAGTAACATCAATTCTACATGCAATCTTACCACAAGAATGATTAGGTAATTTACATTAAGGCACAGGAGCCTAAGTACTTAAATTCACTGTTTATTCTTCTGAAAATATTCTGGCTCTCAATAATCCAGTCTTTAAATAAAGTAAGTTATTTCAATGTGTAATTAACTTCACTTTCAAAACAACCATCTACTAAAAATAATTCTCTTTGATCACTTTCTCATTTCTATTATTTTTTTTATTCATCAAATTTATTCAATCTTAATAATCTTTACTCTTCAAAATATTTCTTTATTTTTGTGAAATAAGCCTTATCCAATTAAAACCCTTCTAATTTTGTCTACATAAGTGATTCAAAATTCTTTATATAAATATCCTTATTCTCATATGGAGATTCAATTAATTATGACCGGATATGTAGAAAGTATTCTTACTCTTCAGTACGATTTATCTATTTCCCAATGTTTATCAAACCCAAATTATGTCTCATATATATAGAATGAACCAAATTTCATGTTACTCTCAATTCCTACATTTTTGACCTTATTATTTTTTCTTCCACAGGTTCTTCAGAATTGGCTTCTTCCCACCAATTATGAGATCTTATAATATCCTCCTTAACAAATCTCTAATATTGATTACATTACCTTGAAATCTAATATCTATAATAATCGAATTAATGTTAGTAAACAAATTGTTTTGCTTAATTGAATTTTATCTCATGAAAGTTAAGATAATGAATTTTATATAAAATTAATTTAAATTTCCTTCTATCATATTCCTCAATTAAGTATTTATTATACTTTAGTAATAAAAGAGAATTATATAATACACTATCAGGTGATTTTTTATCTTGATATTTTTGAACAGTGATAAAAAATTATTTTAATGATCATTTAATAATATCCATCCATAGGTATATTTGAAATAATTTATTTAATAATGACTTTCTCTCTATGTAAGACAATAGAGATGATAATGCTATATATTTTTATACTTTTTAGATTATAAGTTGAAGTTTAGTAATCACAATTAAATTAGATGATAAGGAAAAGATGATAGAAATCTGATTATACCCCTAATAAGAAGCAATTACATTTAGATGAATTTACTAAAATTGATGGTTATAATTTCACTTAAATTTTCAATTTTATAACCTTTAAAATCATGGGATTATTACTAAAACATCAATCAATATAATCAATTTCCCACTAATTGTGATATATATTTATCTAATAAATACTATTGGACTCCTACAATATCAAAGTCTACTTTATCTAATGCATAAAATATTGCTAATGATAAGTTATGTTTCGCTTGTATTAATAAATTAGAATATTGAATTATCATGAAAATATATCATTTTTTATTAAATGTTAGAATTCAACTACTTGTGATATTTTTCTAGATTGTAATAT